TTCAACAGCTTCCTCCAGAGCAAATTCAGCCGGAAGAAGAGAGGCAGAGACAACCTTCTGCCCCACCAGCGGCGTGCCCTCTTCCAACTCAGACGCAACAATGCCCTTAAGGTCGTCCAATGTGACAAGAACCTGGGCCCAGCGAAAATTGAACGGCATGCCTACATTGAACATGCATTCCGCGATCACCTTGATGATTAAACCAACCTAGGAATTCATCCCACCCCACAAGGTTAAGCACTACAAAGACAAAGTGAAACAGCGTCTCCTGAAGTGGCTCAAGATCTATGGCAGCACTGCCTGCACTGACAAGGAGAGAAAATTCCTTAAAGCTATGATGAAGAAGAATGAGGAACCACTTGCTTATTTCTACTTGACAATGAAAGTCCACAAAACCCCCCTCAAAACCAGGCCCATCGTCTCCTACAGTGGCAGCCTGCTTGAGGGGCTGGGCATCTGCTTGACTCCAAGCTTCAGCCAGTTGCTCATCAATGAGATCCTACCTGAAAAGCTCCTTCGATCTCAAACAGGAGCTCCATGTCCCTGCAGCTACCACCCAATGCAAACTCTTCACAGCTGATGCTTCCTCAGATGTAACCAACATTCCCAAGAGGACAGCCATCACCAAGATTCTCAAAGTGGCTCAAAAGACAACCAAGAACAGTTCCCAGACCTGCCCACCAAAGGCAGCCCTCAAGGCACTGATTCTCTTCATGGAGTGGAGCGTTCTTCCACTCGGTGACACCACATGGCTGGCAACTTAAGGGCACTGCAAATGGGAGCCCCACCAGCCCCACCCTATGCCCCCATCTACTTTGCCATCCTGGAGTCCATTCTGCTTCGATCTTCATGGATATGTCTTGCAGTTCTGAGCTCTACAGGAGATACATCGATGATGTCTTCGGCATATGGCACTGCGAATGGAAGACAACCAGCTCCTGTGGGGGGGCTTCCAAAAGGCAATGAACAACAAAGAGTACAAGCTGCCTGGAGTTCACTGAACTCTCCAATCAGGTGGATTTCATGGAAATGACAATCACCCTCACACATGACAACAAACTGTGGTCACCACACTGTATGAGAAAACCAACCAACTTGTATCTCTACATCCCATCCCACCCTGTCACCCACCAGGCCTCCTGTCCGGAGTGGTGTATGGCAACCTCTTTAGGATCTATACACTCTGCTCTGAGGAGACTGACAGGCCCCCAGGACCAAGCTCTTTTAAGAGGCTCCTGGCCAGGGGCTACCAAGCCACCACACTTGGCCCTTTTTGAAGCAGCAATCACCAGGGCAAGGGCCTACACTGGCCCCCAGCCCAACAACAACAAGAGGGACACCATGGGAATCCAGCTGCTGCACCTGGAATACCACCCCAAGGATCCCCCATCAAAGGTCTTCCAGCAAGGCTGGAGGGATTGCATTGCCATCCCACAACCTGATGCCCTTCAAGCATGTCCGGATCCCACACACAGTGGGCCCCATGCGAGGCAACATCCAATGGGACTGGATAGGATGTTGTAGCCTACTCCAGGCCCCCCAACTTGGAACCACTGTCCTACAGGAAGGTTCCAGAATAGATGCTCCCCCGTCTCATCCTTTTGATTAGAGGCTTGTCGGGGAGCCATGGCACCACACACACACAACCCACACACCCCACACACACCCACCACACACACATCCAGCCCATCGAGGTATTGGATTTACGGTTTAGTTTAGCTTGGTTTCGGTCTATACCGTACCAGCTCCTATGTGTCTATTTTCGAAATCACCACAAACAGGGTACCCTTGCTTTTCTCACAGCCTACCCGGCTTGTATCTTTTGCCATCCCCAGCTTGCTCCACTGATGAAGCAAACAGCGAAATTCCTAAGCTCAGAATTTGGAAATCAGCAAGCAACGGTATACCCCATGGATAAACATCCAATGGTAGATTCGTCGTAGATTAACTCTTAGTAGTGTCTACACACATCTCACACAACATCACACATCTCACACAACACTCAACGTACACACACCTACACACACACACACACACACACACACACATACACATACAGCGATAAAAGTGTGAAAGACCCTCAGTCCGTTGAGGACAATGGTACAGTACTCTAGAGTACGGTATGACGTGGCACGGGACACGTTGCGCTTGCGTGGTTTTGCTTCATCATTTTTTCTCTCCTACATCATACAACCCATCCTCCAAAAGTCCCCTCTAACGCAAAGTACCAGGTAGCGCCTCTCTCTACTTTCCCTCACTTCCTGTTCAGAAAAACGCTGCAACCATGGTAAAGCTACACTTTTCCACCGTTATCCTTGCTGCTCTGGTATCAATATCGTCGGCAGCGGCATGGGCCCCTCTTTCCCAGCCAGCGCGGGATTTGAGCGTCTTTGCCTCGGTCAATGAGCGTAAACAGAAAAGGGCTGGAGGATTTCTTGCCACCAAACGTTTCTCGACCGTCTCGGAACAGGATGAATCTCCCATCACACCGTCTACCAAGCAAAAGCTGGAAGTGTTCAAGATTCCCGCGGGTGTGAAACCATCCTTTAAAGTTTCTGTCCCCACAGTGGCCAGCGTGTTTGCCGCCACAGTTGGTACCTATTTTTTGAACAATCATCTGGCCATGGGCCCTGTTCGAGCTTCCAGTATTGCTGGATTGGTTGCCACCATGGTTCTTCCCGAAAACTTGGCTATTGCAGCCTTTGCAGGTAGTTTTGCCGGCATGGCCAAGGGCGCCGTCATTCCTGGACTGGCTGGTTCAGCTGTCCTAGGATTAGTATGCTCTGCAGTTCTTACAACATTTGACAACAAGAAATGGCTGGTTGGAGTTGGGGGGCGATTGGGTTTTATTGCGCAATGTGCTTGTACCGCACAATTCCTTGTTTCCTGCCTGTTCATGGCGCCAACCCCTCCAGCTGCCTTCATTGGTAGAGGACCGCTAGACTTTCGAGCCTTGACACTGCAATTGCCCATGGTCGCTGGTTTCACTGTCATTGGTGCCCTCTTCATGAGACTCTGGAAAAAGGCGTTGGCAGATAAGAGCAAGAGACTCTCCAACTCTGTGGGCGCAGTGGGTGCTACTGGGTTGATTGCGAACTTGGCGCTTCCAGCTGCATTGGCAGGACCTGTATTTTGTGGTTCCTTTGTAGCCATGGCAGCACCCACAAAGCTTCCCAATGTCAAGAGTTTGATCTTGGCATCATTTTTGGCAGGAGCTGCACAACAGAGTTTGGCGGGAGTCATGCTAGGAGGATGGGGAGGCAAACTTGGTACAGCCGCATTGATGGGAGTGCTGGCATACACAACCTTGGCCGAAAAGGTGTTTCGCCCCAAGGAGCTGGAACGTCCAGAGGACAACATGATGAATATGAAATAATCAATTCGCACAAAGCATTCGGAGTCCGACCACTCTACAACACCCGAGCGACAATTCTTTTTCTCTGTGTTCAAAAGTCTCCAGATAGCTACTATTTGGGTGCGAACAGATATGATTTTGCAAAAGAGTCTATTAGTTCGTCGATCATTTTAGAGTGCGCAGTCCTTTACGGGCACCTGCAAGAGGTTATTTACAGTGTACAGTCTAGGTTTTCTATGTTTGCTGTCAATTGCATCCGTCTACGGGTACCAGTCGTCGAGAAACGAGAGATCCCCCAACTCTTCGTCAAACTTTTTCACGTCAAACTCTGCCAAATCCTGGAAGTCAGCTTCTGAACACGCGGGTGATGACGACTGTTTCTGCACGACGTCTGAATAGGTCCATTCGCCATTCTTGGCGAGACTCTGAGGAAGGATTGGAGAGTAGGCAATTGGAGTTTTGGGAGAGCGAAGCTGTGGAGGTGGCGACTTCCCTTCAAAGCCATTGACAAAGCTTATATACATCATGAGTGGAGAATCCCCGCTGCTGGGAACAAGTGTTGTTGATTTCGCGGTAGCCCGGGATGCATGGGTGTAAGGTGTAAACGTTCCAACACTTGCCGTGTCCATTGGGGACGCAAATGGGCAGGATGATGTTGGAGACAGGAAAAGAGCCCTCTTGGGTTTGATTCCACTTTCCGAAGGAGACATTAGAGAACGAGATGTTGGAGAAAAGAAGACCATCTTCTTTGGTTGCCCCGTCTTGGTTTCTACCGTTGTGTTCCGGTACGTCCCGTGGATTGACTTGGGTGTGGGAGGACGACATGTGTTTCGCTTGGTTGAAAATGGCGTCATTCCTGACGAGAAAACGCAGTGCACATCGTCAAGGAAAATTTTCCGAGGGGTTTCGAATGATATCATCTTGTCGGGGCTAAGCAGTAGAGCATCAGATGGGACGGTTGGAGCCTCGTCCTTGACTTGTGGCGGGCACATCTGCGGGGACATGGGGTCTTCTTTGATCTGCACGATCTTCTTCGTAGATCGAAGGGCACGAGTAGATGTAGGTGTGTCTGAGCTCCGAGGTCGGCGACGAGGTGTCTTCGTTGTTGACTTGACAAGTGAAGACGCTGCTCTGCCCGACTTCATCATTTCGTTGGGGGTAGAGTTATTGGAAGACCGGAGTACGCGGGTAGAAAGAGGCGTCGATGCGGGTTTCTTCTGGCGAGGAGTCTTTGGTGGTTTCCGTGCGCTTCTTGTCTTGGTGGACGTAGTCTTCGCTTGCGACTTTGCGTTAGGGGTCTTGAACTCCAGCTTCCGCTTCGCCGACGGTGTGTCGTTGATGGGGCTGTAACCACTGGTATCCCGTTCTCGCTTGATTTCACTTCGAGTCTTGACCATGGTGACGATTCTGTTTGTATGTGATACGCTGTGTTGTTATGAAAAAGAGTGAACAAGATTTGTGAGCTTCCAATTTGTGTGTTCTGTTGCGTGGCCTTCGTCCTTTCACATTGAAGGCTCCTCCGCCGTTTCAATTGGTAGCAAAATTGAACTTAAAAACTTTATTTTAAAGATTTGCTCGCACAATGCTTTTTAAAATTCCATCTGAAAGAGTTTTGAAGTGATGCATCCAATACATGGCCAAAGACATGCCTTGGTTGACCGAGGAGAAACGCAGGGAGGTGGTTTCAAATTTGAGTTCGTTTGAAAACATGTTTGGTCGGTGAAAGCCAGCTTTGCCAGCTAATAGCGGTGGGAGTGGATTTGATTTTTTAGGCCTCCGTTCTGTTTTTGAAGTGCAAGTAGTTCGGGCTCTGCTCTGCTCCGGTGTCCAAGAACCCCAGGGCAGCAGCTCCATATGTCATACTGTATGTTTCGATCCAAGAGGTCTCTGTTGTATTACATAGCGGCGCTATCGGCTGGTACTAGCTAGCTACCGTAGAAGTTTCGCTGCGGTGCGAGGTTTTGAAAGGGCGGACGGAGCGCATGGAGGAGCCCGACGACCGTCTCTGAGCACGCCCTATCAGCGGGCAGTACAGTACGATGTACACAAAGATCTTCACAGAAGTGCTGAGACTGCCATTGCGTATGTATCGGGTGTCAAGTGCGAAGGACAAGCAAGCATTCTGGATTTCGACAGTGCCACGGCCCAACTTTCTCCCTCGATAGGAGTGAAAAACCGCGGACTTCTTCGCAGCCAGCTCTGTGCGACTTGGGCCATGCTGTCCCAATGACGTGCTTGGCTCAACGAGCAGCAACCTCAACAAAACGGCATTTTGCTTTTCGGCATTGCGTGTTCGGTCTATCCGTGAGGTATCCTCAATCGACTGAGGGCCCAAGCCAATGACCGTCGTCGAATAGTTGATTTGCACTTCTTCGCAGCATCTGTAGGCTCGTGTTTTGCATCACCGCGCAGGATGGAGGACCGAAGGAAGAAGACGACGAGCACAAAAAATAGAAGGACCACTCCCTTCTTTCCACCAATAATTTCATTTTATTTTTATAGAGTTTCTGTATTTTTGTAATGAAGGCAGAACGCAGCAGGCCGCGACTCAGCGTCGGTATCCAACTGAAGGAGGATTATTTATATTCACTCGAAAGAAACAGGAGCCAAAAAAGGAAAAGACACTACAGAAAGGACCCCCAATTGTTTGTTGGCACAACAATTTTACTTGGTCTCATCAATGGCGGTACTCTTTTCATTTCCAAGCTGCATCAGTGAGTCATCCACCTGCTGGACAATTTCTGACTTGGAGAAAGCTCCGACATCAGTTCCAGCCGCCTTTTCCTTTTCAATCTCTCCCTTGATCCAGTCATAGGTCTTTTTGAGTCCATCCTTGATCTTGATGGTGGGTTCCCAGCCCAACTTTTCCATGATGAGTTTGTTGTTCGAGTTGCGTCCTCTGACTCCCATGGGTCCCTCAATGTGCTTGATGGGCAACTTTTTGTCTTCAAACGAGAGAGCAATTTGTCCAAACTCAATCATGTCGACCATCTCGGTACTTCCCAAGTTGATGGGGACCTTGCAGTCGGAAAACATGAGACGAAGGACACCTTCCACACAGTCCTCAATGAACGTGAAAGATCGGGTCTGCTTGCCGTCACCCCAGATTTCAAAATGTTCGGTGGAGGTGATGGCCTTTCGGCAAAAGGCAGCAGGGGCCTTTTCTCGACCTCCCTTCCAGGTTCCACGAGGTCCATAGATATTGTGGAAACGAGCAATTCTAATGTTCATGGGGAAATCACGTCCATACGCGAGTGCCATTTCCTCGGCATAGAGCTTCTCGAGTCCATACATGTCTTGAGGGCGGGCTGGCCAGGCATCAGCTTCGATGAGACCAGGATTTTCGGGATCTTCTTGCTTGGCTTCATTGTACACACATGCACTGGACGCGTAGAAGAAATCCTTGACCTTGTTACGACGAGCTCCTTCCAACATGTTCATGGAGATGGCAGTATTGTTGAAACTAAGGACCGATTCGTTGGAAACGATAAATCCCATACCTCCCATGTCAGCGGCAAGATTGTACACTTGGTGACATCCTTCGCATGCCTTGCAGGCCACCTCCAACTTGCGGAGATCATCAAGGATAAATTCATCGCAGAACTCATCATTCTCCATGAACTCGTTCTTCTTCCAATCCACGACAACCACGTACCAACCTGCTGCCTTGAGGCGCTTGGCAATGTGAGAACCAATAAAACCGGCACCTCCTCCCACACACACCTTCTTGCCCTCTCCTTGGGGTAGTGTAAATTCCTTCATGGGCATCTTGACTGGATTAGTTTACTAGTAGTTTAGTTTGGAAATAAAAAGTACGGTAGCTATATTTTTGCTTCGAGCGGTTCGATTTGAGATAATGCAATGCCAGTCGAGAAAATGGGATCAGGCATCCATCGGCGGATGGCGAGAGATCTTCAGCCCCAGAGTCACCCAGTCATTTGAGTGCTCGGATCCCCAGGACCCTACGTCGCTCTCGAGCGGTTGCGAAGCCGAGAAAGATCACGAGTCATCCTGGATGACACCGGTTACTACTCGTGAAAGCTACCCATTGATTGCTTGGTTGGTTCAGGAAGAGCGACTGGTTGGTTGCCGCCGATACTCCGTGTCACGGCCCATCAAAAGATATTAACCCTAGCCCTAAGCAAATAGTATAAACACACGTCACATTTGCTCTTCAATTGAACCTGCCCCCTAAGCTAATCCAGCGAGCTGCGCGTACCGTACGGCACCCGTCGACATCAAAAGTCGTGTTTTCCTGAAAGTCGCGTGAAGATCGCCAAAAGTCGTGCGACTTTCCAGACTTTAAAGTCCCGAACGACTTTACCGCGCTTTATCACGATGTTTACCGCGATTTATTTGCCTGCCGCGACTTTAGCGCGACTTTACTACTAAAATAGGCCCATTTCAACACGACTTTACGGCGACGTTTGGCGCGACTTTTAAAGTCGCACACGACTTTACCACGACTTTATAGCGACTTTAACCGCGACTTTAAAATGACACCACCGCTACCTCACAACTTCCTCTCACGGTTAGGATAGACAACAGTACAATACCCACGGCCGCAACAGGAAGGTGGCTCATCGCAACTTACTCTCACGGTTGTTTAGGAAAGACAACAGTACATCGCAACTTACTACTCTCACGGTTAGGAAAGACAACAGTATGCTGAGGCTTCCTGGACCAAAAGCTGTAGCCATGATGCCCGTTGCATTGCACACTCGCAACTCACAAGCAATGACGCCCTGCCCCTGCCTTGCAAGCCCCCCTATGAAAAGAACCTGGTGCCGTGATTTACCAGCCTTTATCTCCCAAAAAACGCAACCATCAGCTGGGGAAACACATGTGGCCCGAAGCTTGGCTCCAATACTAATTGTAGCGACATTTTCGAAACGTTAGCGTATCTGGTCGCAGTACAAATGGATACAAATTCTAATAAAGTTTATGCGTTGCCTGGGCTCTTCAAAAACAAGGGACGGAACCAGAAGCATGCAGATTGTTGTGATGGCTGGCATCTCTTTTAAATTTCTTGCATACTGGAGGCCTGCTATCACCATCAAAAATTACACCTTCATGTGCTCGTAGCCGCGGTCGTCCCTCCACAAGGCCTTGTCAAAGGCACGCTTTCCCATTTCCACACCCAAAAAGAGGGCTGCATTGGCTGGAAATGCACGGAGCAACACAGGACCCAAGCCTGCGTAGAGTCCCTGGACGCCACGTTCCCTGGCAATTCGCGCTAGCTCAGGGAAGTAAGATCCAACGACCTGCACAAAAAGAGATCCAATTATGGTTGGTTCCAAGTGTTCAACAGGCAAAAGGCACAAAGGATACAGTCAGCCTACTCACCTTGGTGTCATACCTCGATTGCAGCTGTCAAATTGGCGAGACAAAGAAGGTACCAAATAGCATCTATGATGAGAAATCAAAAAGTACAATACAGTCACTCCCGTTGCATTCATCAATGACTTACATTGGTTTTTGGCACATCAAAGGGCATGGCCACCACCCAACCCAGCATGCCAGCCAGTCCACCACTGATGAAATAGTTGAGTTCCTCTGGCATGGAGGGCACATGGGTGCTAAAAAGGTAACAGAACATTTTGTATCCGCCAAAGAATGGTGCGTAGAATGTAACCTCTCTTGCAATTTCGGCATCCAAACCCACAAAGAGCGACTTGTATCCTTGTCGACGAATCATCTCCTTCAAGATTTGCTGGGAGGAAATGTTGGCATGAGAGACCACTTGTGTTTTGGCCTTGATGACATCGCTGGGAAGCAGTACCAGGGCACTCATGAATCCAGTAAAGGCACCACAAGCAAATGGTTTCATCAGGCTGGTGGGTTCTCCTTCCTTGTCAGGAAAGGCTCTGGTCAACCATTCGTTCACACCAAACGCCATGGCATTTTCTGCCGCCATGCCCAGAGCAGTGGGAACAGCTCCTTTCCACAACGCCTAAGAAAAGGGGGGACATGCATGCATGAATGTTAGTTAGGGTATCCCAAGCCATGATAGAATTAGAATTGTTACGTACCGGCACACCCTCATTTCGAAGAATGGACGTGACGGTAGTGGCCACCGATGGATATTCCACGGGCTTGGTTTGCATGCGGACCTTGACCGTATCAAAAGGATGTCCTGTGTAGCAGCAGCAAACACTGCCCGTCAAGGCGGAGAAAATATCCCTGGTCACGGCGCGAGGATCTGAAGCACTCGTCATGGTTTATTATTTAGTTATTTAGTTAGTTGGATAATGAAAGGACGCTGGGGCTCCCAAAATAATGAGAAAATGAAAGGCCGATGCCATGACCAAAATGTTTTCTTCTTTCGCTCTTGCAGTTTCGTTCTTTGAATTTTCTTGTTGTGAGAAAAATCTAGCGTCGCAAATCTTTGACACCTGCATCTCCCCTTGCGTGATGTCAGGGGGGTGGAGTAATAACATGGTAATTATCCAATAAGTGTTAAACAATGCATTCTTTAGACTCTTGAATTGTTTTAATATTCTGGTTTCCATAGATCCGTGTTGAACCATAGTTTGACAGGATTTTTCCATCCTCCTGAGAAGCTAGGGTTCGGCCACAATGGTATCTTTTTCTTCAGCATTGGAGGGCCATTGTATTTGAGAGTTGAGAACTGTTGCGGAAGTTGGGTGCGGAAGTCAGGCAAGGTGCTGCAAGTGCACTACACTCACAAAGAGGAAAAGAAGCTGTCCGCGTCGAGGACAACAGCAAGCTACAGAAAGGCAGAACAGATTGAATCTTTCAATCATTCTACAGAGCGAGCTAGCGTTCTGCGAACTCATCCTCATCATCATCATCACACCTTGACCATGAGCGGCAACGCATACTCTGTGGCGCGTCGTTGGAGCAGCGATTGGCACCACAATCAAGAGGCGAACAACGAGAAGACTTGCATGGACTTGCTGCAAGCGGTTGGCACCGAGAATGCCTTGATGCTACCACGAGAGTGTCAACAGAACCAAACCATCAGGACCGCCTTGCGAAAGAAATCGGCAGAGCAACATATGGCTAGATCATCGGATGGTCCCAAGTAGCGATGCGAGAAAGGAGAATTCGAATGAACTTCAATCGAATCGAGAACCAAGTGGCCAGCCGTGAAGATGATGCTCTCAAGGGTTGGGCGGAGCGACAGCAGCATACCATTTATTTCGTGTCTAGATGAGACGATAATATTGCATGTACGGTAATTGCTAGAGATTACAGATCCAAAGTTGATTGTAGAGTTTTTGTTTTTGTTTTTGAACTTGTCTAGTAGGCAAACCTTCTGGCTGTTTTGTCCAATCCGAAGTCACCCCAAGTAGCAAGCAACTTTGGCAATGAAGGTGCCCGAGCACATGTTGTATGTCGCTCTTACCTAGAGCGACCTTGTCACCGGAGCCCGCTTCCACTTCGCTCTCGACCAAAGTCACCAATTGGAGTGGTGTCCAATCTCTGTGCAGTCGCCCGCCACCACCCAGTCCACCTACGCGTACATTAATTTTGCCCTATCCACCTCAGAAAATACCTTACCCTCTCTATGGAATCATCCATCTACCAATGATACCCCTCCCGGAACCAGCTAGAAGCTTCATCCCACTACATAACCGCCAGAATACATGTAGTTCGATCTATCATTGCTTCCAAGTCAAACTCTCGCCTCCGGTGCAACTTAGACTCTTCACTCAGTGGTGACTTCGAGAACGAGTAGCTACTTTGCGTACCAGTAACCCGTTAAAAATCTGGGTACCGGTACCGGTACCAGGTAGCCGAGCAGGAAGAAGCTCTGAAGATGAGGTAGATTGAGTAATAATTGTATTTGATTCAACTAATTATTGAGAGTACAGCATAGCATTACCCGAACTACGCGCTCAAAGATGTTTAGCACGACAGATCTATGCATAGAAACCCACAATGACAAAAATAATGAGACAACACTCCCTCAAACGTTCTTCAAAACATCACGTAGATTCACATAAAATTTGCGAGACAACCACAGAAAGACAGAAGCAACATGATTGAAGACGATGACTGGGCTCTGAATTGGATGCAAACTCCGTGGTTTGCATGGGGGCTCTTGCCCTTCCTTGCTGTCAATATTGGTTTCTGGGGCAGCGTCATTCCCCTGGAACTGATTCTCAACAAAATCTTGCAGGATGATTCATCCTTCTGGAACACGTGGTTTCATCTTATTGAATACGGCAACCAGAAGAACCGTCGCCAGGACTTGGTCGAATGCCGAGCACAAATCAGCCTAGCACATCAAGCAAAACTTTCGTTTATTCAAATGAGCGGTCCCATGGCAATTGTGGGAGCTGCCGCGGCTGGATTCCTTTTCCCCCTCTGGATGCCGGCTGTGGAACGAACAATGCCCACTTTGGCACAATTTACAATGCAAATGATAATCATGGAGGTTGTTGGTGACTTTCTCCTCTACTGGTGTCATCGACTCCAACATTCAAGTCAGTACCTCTGGGAGAATTTTCATTCCAAACATCACCAAGTGGGCACTACCTCGGCCTTCTCAACGGCGTATATCGATGCAGTCGATGCTACGCTGCAAGCGACCATTCCACTTTTATTGGCCGCGGTGTCGGCTCGGGCCCACCCCATTTCCTTTTGGAGCCATTGTTGCTTTCGAGTTAGTGAAAATGTGGCACATCATTGCGCATGACCTCTCCAATTCTCTCCATTCTCTTTTTCAAATATATTCCTGGAAGAGCTGACAATGACTTTCATGATTGCCATCATCGTTACTCCAATTATCATGGTCAAGCCAAAAATTATGGAGAATACTTTACTCTCTGGGATGAATGGTTTGGTACTGCCTCCAATTTGGACAAGTTGAAGAAAAAATCCTAGTACATGTTGCCATCCTGCCATCCATCCATTCACACAACAAAAGACTGAAGTCCCTTCATGCTATTACCGGCATCATACAAAAAGCAATCCAACCAAGCAGATAGCTATCCAAACATCCATTCTATAGATTGCTCCATTAGCCCAGTTGAGATCCGTTATAGGTTGGTTGCCGTGAAAATTTTTATCTACGTATTCCTCCTTCGTACAATAATGGGCCCCTCATCCATCTTGGACACAGAAAACCAAATACATATAAGAGTGAATTGACTGCATTGCCCCCCGAAACCTCTTCCATTTCGGCTGGGCCTTCCAAGACTCCGAATGCCTCCATAATGAACTCTACTATTCCCTTTAGCATCACTGCCCATCGCTCGGCCCTTGCTACTCGTCACTCTAGCTAGCGCCAAGGACCAACTAATTGGCACGTGCACAAATGCCTTGGCCCGGTCCAACACCGCTGGAGAGTGGCTACCTGGACATTGCGAACTCGCCTTTCAGCACCAGAGTGGCGTGATGCAGTCTGTCTTCGGGATGGCCCCATCCCACACAAACTTTTAGCAAGCTTTGATGGATGTGATGCCCACTACTTTATCAGTAGCGATAAATAAGCGCACCGGTACCACTGCAGCCTCCAGCGAAATCTAGGGAAGGACGATCCATACTTGGCTGCATTCAGCCATGCCACCCATGCATAGTGGACTCAAAGCGGTAGAAACAATTGAGTGTTACTAGCTAGTATTACATAGTGTTTCACGTCAGGATTGTAGGTTGACAACCAAATCCGACCAACAAATTCTTGCAGTGCTTTTTATTGCCCCTTGTACTCTGGAGTCCTGCCCTCCTTGAAAGCCGACAGTCCTTCCAGCCTATCGTCAGTTGGCAAGACTTTGGCATAATTTTGTCGTTCAATCTCCAGTGCTTCCTTCATATCTGTTGCCGCCATACCTTCCTCAATTGCCTGTTTGGAAGCTCGAATGGCAACTGGACCGTTCAGAGCAATCTTCCAGGACAATTCCATGGCTTTTTCCAGTGCCTTTTCTGGATCCACCACATGCTGTACCAAGCCATACTCGTAGGCTTCTTGTGCGGAAATTCGCCGTCCCGTCCAAATGAGTTCCTTGGCTCGGGCCACACTGCCTAGTAGCCGTGGCAATCGTTGGGTCCCACCCGCTCCAGGGATAATGGCCAAGGAAGTTTCGGGCAACCCAAAGGAGGCCGTGCCCGAGGCGATTCGAATATCGGCCGCCAAGCAAATTTCCAACCCACCGCCCACGGCCACCCCCTCGACAGCGGCAATGACGGGAATGGGCAACTGCGCCATGCGTTCCATGGTATTGCGTAAATTGGTGACAAAGTCTGCTGCCTCGCCCTGTGTCATGGTCGCTCGCTCCTTCAAATCGGCACCTGCTGAAAAGACCTTGTGGGAGTAGGATGTCAAGACGACACACCTAGTTTTTTGGGTGTCAGTGTCTTCGAGGTCCGCGAGACAATCTTGAAATTCTTTCAGCATTATGGATCCCATGGCGTTGGCTTTGGGTCGATTGAGGGTTATTGTGGTGACAATAGCATTCGGATCGTTTTCATGAGCTTGGTGATCCAGTATTATCTGCTTACCAGAAGCAGTAATATCATTTGTGGCGATCCATCGTCGAGTGGTAGTAGCATTATTGTACCGGTAGCAGAATTGAGGCCTTTTAGCAACGGGAGGGTGTGCGGGGCCTGGTGCGACAGCACCGACTCGAAAACTTGTTGGAAGCAACCGGTTGATGTGAAGCGATCGAATCATTGTCGGTACTGTTGTCCTCTTACTTGGGCAATGAGAGTGTGGGAAGATGATAGAGAGTCGAGTTCGGAAGAAAAGAAAGGGTGTCAAGTCAACAGAACGAAAGAATTTGCTTGCAAGGTCGATGTCATCGAAAGATCCGATGACTTTCAGTCATGGCAACAGTATCTTTTAAATTCAGCTTAGCTGGCTCGGAAGGAAACTCTCGCCTTGGGACTTGGGACATCGGCTGCTGTGCATGCAGTGAGCGGACTGTTGGTGCAGTCCAAGGACTGTGACCTCTAGCTAGCTAGCCATCTTCCCGGTATCTAGCTAGCTAGCTAGCGAACCACTGGAGTGCAGAGGAACTCAAGACAGAGATAGCAAAGATGAGTGACTTGGAAATGGAAGGCATGCTGCAGCCACCAGCGCCCAAACCAGCTGGGGGGCACCCGCAACGGGCCAGCTACTGAGCTCTCGATTTTCATCATCTACCGATCATCCGTATTTGAAATGAAGAGGCTGATTACAATGCCGGGGAATTGAAATCCGGGGAAGTCTTCTGGACCGCTGGCAGTATTGGAATGCCTCCGCAAGAAGTGATGTGAGAATGATTTGGATCGTCGTGTTTGCCGTGGTTGTCACATTTTGCTTCTATCAGTCAGTCAGTCTGTCTAGTTCGACGCTGTCCACTGTAGCTAGCCAACTGCACGACAAGAAGAGCACAGTTCCACAATCTCGTCGTAGACGCCGTATCCAAACTGATCGGTAATGATTGCTTCTGCCATGGCCCAATCGGGAAGTATGTCGTCGTCTTCATCAGCATCGTCAGTACTGACTGCCGTCCGCCACCGATCCCCTCCCGTGGCGCGAATCATTGCCGGTAGGAGTTCCAGATCCATCAAGGGAGGGATCTCGATGGTTCCCACTTTGGTGTCGTAGTTGAGCGCAAACAGCTTTGGATCGATATCCTGTTTCTCCTCGTCATTATTTGCGAGCGATACTGCCCCTTGTTGATAGAGTTGACGAAAGGATTGGACGCCATTGATTCGGAGTAGCAAGGACAGATACTGAATGGCACCGGTAGCGATATTGTGGATATCATCATCTATGGCATTGCCAACAACAAGCTCGGGGTTGCTGCCAAGATTCTGTTCTTGTGGTGCTTGGTGGTAGGGTGAAAGTGCTTGCAAGTGCACTGCATTTCTTCCCCCAGTGTTCTTACTGTTACTCGTCACACCATATTGAGCCACAATGGGATCATCTTGCATGGACACGTGCACGTAAGCTGGTCCATTGCAAAAGGATTGATCCTCTGGGAGGAGCAGTCCGTTCATGGTTACCACGGTGATTGCCTGATGTAGTAATGATTCGGCATGAGCTAATGTTTGCTGTCTTCGCCATGCCAATAGAGCGGACGCTAGAATGGTACAGGTGGCACTGCACGTCACTAGTACCAAGTGTGGCGATGATGATGATGATGATGATTGTTGCTTTGTGACGGCCACATCAATTAGTTTGATCAAGGTCGTCTTCAAGGCGTCGTCGTGCGAAGTGGCAAAGGGCGTTTGGGTACTGCTGTCGTACAATGACAAGACGGCACGGATACAATCCAAATCCTTGGAGCGCACCCGATATGTCTTCATGGTTGTTGTTGTTGATTCCTGACTCGACTTTTTATTCTTAGCTTGCTGCTGCTGTGGTTCCATACTGATCAAATGAAAGGATTGAAGGGATTGCAAAGTGTCGTGTGTGAGCTGAATTGCAATAATTGTGTCGTCCCCATTTGGATTTTGGTTGTTGTTGTGATAGTTGGAGAAGGTTCCTGGGAACAGCAGTGCCATGGGAATTCCATCTAGGACGTTGGAACAATATTGTAGCTGCTGTTGGGCTTGCCTGTGAGACATGGACAAGGCGGGCAAGAAAACGACAACCTCATTGCTTTTTCCATGACAGTGTTGTGCTGTTTGAGTTGATGACCATGATAGGGCACTTTGAAGAAACTCTAACGGATCATCCATGGCAAAGAGAGCACTAGATTGCAATGAAGGAGGATCCGTCTCGTCATTGCTAGCAGCAGTACCTGTATTGTCAGAGCATGGAATGGTGAAACGTCCCTCGTGTTGGAAATCGGCTGAATAGTTCCGAATGAATAGACGAAACGGATCAAGCTGATGAGAGAGTTCTCCCTTGTAGGCGTCCATTTGTGATGATTGATCATTGTCCATGTTTTGCGTCGTCAGGGCAACCGTCGCAGCCTCCAAGACGTCCATTAGGGGAATCAGTTTGGGGCTCTGTGCATCGATGCTGAACAGCGAGGAAGGATTCCAGTGGAGTAGTGGACCGTTTTGATCTGACTCTGCCGGTTCATTCTCTTGTTTGGAAAAAATTCTGGGTGGACCGTGACGTCTACAGTGCAAGCTGCTGTATGGAGGTCTTGGAAGAAGAAATGCAATCGACACAGGCAACAACGCTATCAGCAGAGGGCTCAACAAAGCCCTTCTTCTCGATAGTATCAACATCTTTCCGTACTAAGAGCATGTACTAGCTAGTATGCAAAATGATTGTGGTGATGGTCGCCATTATTTGTCGACCTCCTCCCACAGCCAGGTGTGGTACCGGTAGCCTTCGAATTGCTTCTAAGCTTCTGTGGCTTTGCGTTCTCAAGAGCTTTCCCAAGTGAATACGTGATGAAGTTGACGGCTTGTTCGGTCGGTCGCGGCAGCAAATTCATTAGGGTTAAACGAATGGCTCAGCGATCTTTGGATCTTTCGAAACGGAACCCCTTTGTTCTCTGTAGAAGTTTGGATCTTTCGAGCTATCTTTCGTACTAGTATGATCGGCAAGCAAGGAGCCTAGTAGTGAACTGGTACAGCGGTACAGCGGTACAGCGGTATCTTCTTCCTGCCATCGCCATTATTGAGGTTGTTTGGATGAAAGTAAAGAAGCACAGAAAGCCCACAAGCCCAACACTGCCATTCCTTGTCGTCTTGATCACCAGTGTTGTCGTTCTCTTCTCCATCCCCAAACCATCACAGCTTGGAAACGTTCCTTCATCGTCTTCTTCGCTGCTTTCGTTTTCGCTCCGCTCCACTAAAACTACTAACAACAATAACAAACAAAGATCCGCAATAACAACAATGAGTACTAGTAACAAGAAATCTTGGAAAGTATTTTGGGATTTGCAGTGTCCCTTTTCCAAAAAGAATTGGGAAAAACTGTCGGAAATCAAGGACAAATTCGGATCCGACTATGAGTTTAGTATTCATTTGACGTCGCTGCTCTTTCATCCACAAGCATTTACGGCCCAATGTGCCGCCAGTTTGATTGAAAACAACAAGGGCGCCGACGGCAAACACAAATTCATTACGGCATGTATGGAACAACAAGAATCCTTTATGAATGCCGCCGTTGGCGATGCCCGCAAGAGTGAAGTCGATCTCATTTTTGCCAATATTGCACAAGACTGTGGATTCTTTGACGCGGATGACGGCTTTACCAAAGACTTCTTTTTGGCCAATTTACATGACTGGGAATTGGCCATCAAACCGGCATGGACCGAACACAAAGAAGCATTGGCACTCGGAGTGGTTTCCACACCCAAACAAGTCATTGATGGCGTCTTGATTGCCGAGAGTGAAAGCAGTTGGGGAGCACAAGAGTGGCAAGACAAACTCAAGTCCATGTAGCTAGTAGGCTAGCTATATAGTAGAGCCAACTATATATCCATCTATAAACAATCAACAAAAACCATAGCCACCACGCAACACCATCGCATTCTCGTAAGAGCAAACGTGACCGAACCTTTCTTTGGCAATGATTCGTCATGCGATTGAATTCTTCATTCATTCGATTCAAGCCACGCCGCAAGCAACAACACTGTCGGTCAGGAAACTCATTGACTTTTAGTATTCTTTTTATTTTTATTAACTAGACTCTGCTCTGGAAGGCCCGGTCATACGACTGAAAATCGCCAAAATCGGCGGAAAGTCGCACAGGAGTCTCAAAGTCGCATCAAAAGTCGTTCATAAAGTCGCATGCAAGTCGCACCAAAGTCGCGTGC